CTTAGAGTAAAATTAACTCTACTTTTGCAAGGAGACTATTAACACCAAAACATTTAACACTTTTGAATTTGCTGTGTACTACCGTTTATGTCAGAAAATCATGGCACCGGATAACGGTACCCATCCCTATATATAGCATTATAAAAAATTAATATAACAGCGATTTAAGTCAGATTTGATTTAATCACCATTGAATGACAGAATACACCATTTAAGTATGCTGCAGAACCACACACACACACACGCTCTACACTGGATCCCTTCAACACCTCCAATCAGCAGTGGAATAAGGGTTGCCAACCGTCCCTTGAAAAACAGAATCGTTCCGTATTTAGAAACAAAAGTATTGAGCTGAAAAGGGTATGCACTTTGTCAAATGGTTAAAAAAATAATTACACACACAAATACAAGAGCTAAGAAATTCCCCACACTGGGAAGGGTGAAGACAATCGGGTCGCCCAGCCCTGGCCAATTAGGCGTCCCTTTTTTTTTTTTCAGGGAGTTGGCAACCCTAACTGGAATGGTTGGATGGATGAATAGACAGATGGATGGAATTTCAGCAAATGGAAATCCCGACACTCACTGTATACATCATATAAAACAGCAAATGTCATTTTAAAGTCAAAGGCAGAAATTTTCTTTGTGAGAACTTTGTGAGAGGGTGATGACTCATCATGTGTAAGCTGAGGCTTCGGGGGAGATGTGACCAGTAAACAAATTATCTCTGAATGTCACGTCATATTATTTTTCGAATATGAACTATTAGGTTTTCTATGTCATTTTTTAAATATCAAAATATTTACACATGTCATCATGTAACTCCCATATGAAGTGGATTTTCAAATTCTTTTCATGAAATGGAATCAGGAATCAGGGATGGAATTATATGTTGAGTGATACAATACAAAGGAGTCTTAACAGCACTCACATGCATGTGAGTCATGCAAACACAACAGGGACTGGGATTAATGATGACATTTTGAGGCCAAACAGTCACCAAAACTTTCAGAATTTAGATTTAGTACTTCTTAGTGCTCCAAAATATATCTGATGAGCAAATCAAAACTCGATAAAGGCACAATGACCCATACTGTACACACATACATTACAACAGCGGAGATGTAAAATGAATACTTACAGGCACGTCCACATACTTCGAAGCAGCTTTTACCTTGACAAAGATAGAAAAACACTGAGTACAGCAGCTGAACAAAAGTTGTCCAGGTGAGACATAGCATCTTATATCTTCTCACCTTCTGAACTAGAAACACTGATTTGTGGTGATATTAGCTGCACAAATGCACTCATTGTTATTGCATTCATAATTTAACAGTTTAGCTTTTGTAGTGTTGTGGAAATTTAGGAGCGCTAGTGCCAGAGAAGCTCACCAAAAAATCGACCGTAGTTTCACGACCATAAGGCGCACTTAAAAGTCTTAGATTTTCTTCAAAAAGTACGGCGCGCCCTATAGCGCAGTGCGCCCTGTGTGTTGTAAGGAGGACGTAGTAGAGAACACCATGAGAACGCTAAAAGGTGAAGTGTGGGCGTTGATCGTATATACCGGACAATCGCACATACCTGTCTAAAAGGACAGGTATGTGCATTATGTGGAACATTGTTGTTTTAACAACCCTGAAAATGGCAAAGAGACACGCTTATGAAGCACAGTTTAAACTGAAGGCCATCAGCTATGCGGAGGAACATGGAATTCGAGCAGCGGCGAGAGAATTTAACGAATCGATGGTTCGCAAATGGAGGAAGCTAGAAATGGTGTGAAATGGTGATTTTTAAGCGAAAGACTTTGCCTAAAGAGAAGTTTCCAGCAGGAATCATCATTAAGGCAAATGAAAAGGGCTGGATGGATGAGGAAATGATGAAAGAGTGGCTGAGGGAGGTGTATGTAAGGAGACCAGGTGGTTTTTTCCACGCATCACCATTGCTCTTAATCTGTGACTCTATGCGTGCCCATCTCACAGCCGATGTGAAAAAACTAGTGAAACAAATGAACTGTGAGCTTGCTGTCATTCCGGGAGGAGGCCTGACAAAGGAGCTCCAACCGCTGGACATCGGTGTGAACCGCCCGTTCAAAGTAAGGCTGCGAGCGGCCTGGGAGCGATGGATGACCGATGGAGACCACAGTTTCACCAAGAGTGGAAGGCAGCGCCGGGCGAGTTACGCCACAATTTGCCAATGGATTGTAGATGCTTGGGCTAACATGTCTGCTGGCACTGTTGTTCGAGCTTTCGCAAAAGCCGGCATCATTTCCGAGGAGCCGCACGGCACGGAAAGTGACTCTGACGGTGAAGACAGTGAACCTGGCATGTTTGATGGAGATTTAGCGCAGCTGTTCAATTCAGACACAGAGGATGAGGACTTCGATGGGTTTGATGATAAAAATGTGAGTATGATTATAATATGATGCTATGAGAATTTATATAGTTGCACACCATTGTAATTTACAAATGCATACAATGTGGGGAGTTTTATAAAATATTTGTATACGCAAACTCAGTGCCAATGCAGTGTTTATGAAAATGGTCCACTTGTGTATGAGGAGATACATACATACATAGAGTATCAGTATAGTGAGATAAATGGATGCTTTTTCATTAAATCAAATTTAAACCCCTTAATTAACCAGAACAAAAGGTAGCTTTAGAATTAATAACAAATTTCCTACATAGGTGCGCTTTCACTGAGGAAATGAAGATGTCTGTTAAAATTGTTCATTACATTCAAAAGTTCAGTTACAGTAGAAAAGCATCACACTATGATTTACACACTGCCATTTACAGACCAAGTAAATTATTAGTGAAGTATTCTTATTCTGATGCATCTTTATTAAGCTATGACCTTGTCTCTGAGTGTGTTAACTGAGTGTAGCCAAGTACAGGATAGGGTAGGGGAAATTAAAGTAAGATGGAGAGAATGGGCCAATAGCTAGATTCGTAGGAGGGATAAAGTGAGTTGCGTGGAGAAGAATGACTGGAGCCACAGGTAAAGTTGCTATGAATTGTATTAAACTATTTAGCAACAATTTAACAGCATTTCATGAACAGGAATGAAATCATAAAATAAAATACAGTGACAGCAATAATAATAACAATCAGAATCCTATCTGAGCTCAGATATGTCAGTCTTAATAGTCAGTGTTCAGTCAAGTCAAATCCAATAGGTTGTGATTGGTGCGATTTCGTCCTACCGCACTGTTGCAATTGTTCGTGAGAGAAGAGCAACCTGCCCTTCTGGGCCAACTCAGAATGGCTGTGGTTCGGTTCAAAGGGAAAGGCTCGCCATCTTCCTCGTCAGGAAGAGATCCAGGTCTCACGATCCCATAAAAAAAAACCTAGCCAGCACACTTCTAATGTTCAACTCTCAGAGAGGATCTTGTCCACTTCATCCGCTCCCATGCAGATCGCGATGGTTTCAAGGTCCGAAATGTTCACAATAAATCAGATCCGTTTCTCCAAGGTCCATGCAGATCTCCGGTGTGGATATTTGCTCAATTTATCAAGTTAATAGTTATTTTCCAGCGAAAAGCTTGGCGGTGAAAATCAGCGATGGTCTCGTGCACCTCCGTCTCTCTCTGTGTCTGAGCACGTGACGGTACAGAGCAGGGGAAGGCGGGGCTTGTTCCTTCCTAACCAGTAGGGGTGTTAAATATACTCTTTGGGTTTTATTCTTATATTTATAGTATTTATCTTTCATTATTGATTCATTTTTGATCAACTCAGTGATTAACAGAGTAATGATAAATCCCAATTAACAATAACATGTTGTAGTGCATTACTGAGTCGTGTAAACTCACTGGGTTACATCCTCCCCCCTTAAATCTCATGCACGTCCCCGCGCATGGCTCTGGTGGAATAGGCAACATCATTAGCAAGGGAGTCGATGAAAGCTTTGTTCAATCCTTGAAAGAGTGATTTAACCACTGTTACTAGTGGGTTACCTAGCTGAGGATAAGTGAGTCTTTGGGATGGTTGGCGAATTCTTTCAGATCTTCTGATCTGTGTTTCTGTTTGCAAGGTTTCAGGTTCATCATC